GTGGAAGGGAGGGTTTATTTCAGCTTACAAGTTATAGTCCATCACTGAGGAAACCAGGGCAGGGGATCAAGAAAAAACCTAGAGGCAGGAACTGATGCACAGACCAAGGAGGAGCACTGCTGACTGGTTTGCTCCCAGGCTCACAGTCAGCTCTAATATAGCCCCGGTCCACCTGCCTAGGGGATGGTACTTCCCACAGTGGGCAGGCCCTCCAACAAAAAGTAGCAATTGAGAAAATAGCCCACAGATGTGAAAACAGGTCAATCTGATGGAAGCAATTCGTCACTTGAGGATTCCTCTTCCTTGGTGTGTCAAGTTGACAGCCAAGATTAGCCATAAAAGTATGTACTGTCTGGGGACCCTTTTCCCTTTTTGCTTCCTGGTTGCCACAAGGTGAGGCACTTTCCTCTGCCATCTTTCTACCTTGTCACTTGCCCGACAGAGCCAGCCAATCCTGGGCTGAAACAATGAACCAAACTAATCTTTCCTCCTTGGAAGAGATTTTGTCACAAGGATGTAAATAAAGTGACAGGCCAGCTACGTAACTCTGGGTAAAGGTACTTAAGGCTAAGCCTGAAGAACAAGTTTAATCCCCAGGACACACATAATGGAAACCGACTCCTGCAAGTTTTCCTCTGACATCCATTAGCATGCTGTGTCATGGGTTGGACACACACACACACACACACACACACACACACACACACACACACACACCACCACCACCACCACCACCACCACCACCAACAACAACAACAGTGTAATAAAAACATTTAAAAGAAAAAAGTGACTAACCCAAGCACTATGGAGCATCAAGGTCTATTCTAGTTTCCTATAGTTGCTGTAAAAGATTATCACAGATTTTGTAACTTAATACACACTACTACATTGTATAATTCTAGAGGTTAGAAGTTCAAAATTAATTCCATTATGCTTAAACGAAGATGTGGGAGGGGCTGCATTCTTTCCCGAGGCTCTAGGGAAGAAGCTGTTTACATTACTTGGCTCATGGCTCCTTCCTCCTGCAATCACACCATACTGACTTCTGCTTCCTCTCACTTTTGACCCCTCTGTCTCCTTCCTATAGTCACCTGTGATCACTTCAGGACAACTTTTCTTTCTCAACATCTTTAGTCACAGTGGGGCAGTGGTGGCACACTCTTTAACCCCAGAACTTGGGAGGCAGAGGCAGGTGGATCTCTGTGAGTTCTAGGCCAGCCTGGTCTACAGAGCGAGTTCCAGGACTGCTAGGGCTGTTAAACAGAGAAACCCTGTGTCAAAAAACAAAACAACAACAAAAACAGATCTTTAGTCACAAGTCTGGGAAGAAGAATCCATTGGTAAACTACCTGCTGCACAAACTTGTGGGCCTGGGTTAGGATCCCCAACATCTATGCCAAAATTAGGCATAGCTGTACACATCTGTAACCCCAGCATTGGGAGGATGCAGGCAGGACCCTGGGGCTGTTTAATCAGTGTGGTCCAGGTCAGTGAAAGGCCCTGCCTCAAACATAAGGTGGTGATTAAGGCCTTTGGCCCCCATCATGCATGCATGTATATACACTCAACACTTGCATGCTCATGTGAACACATACATACCACATACAGGTACACACACACACACACACACACACACAATCTTTATTTATATCTGCAAAGTCCTTTGTGCCATATAAGGTAATAGTCATGGGTTGGGGGACAAGGACATAGGTGTCTTTAATCCCCATTCCATTGCCTATAGGGTTGTTTTGTCTCAAACCCAGGGTCTTGTTCAGGGCATAGAGTTCATAAAGAGAGATCAGACACCATCACAGCTACCACCTTGACTGGGGGCTGTTTAAGGCCTAGAGCTCCAGAAGCCTGGCGCCTACTCCTGCTGCCGTCAAGGACAGCCTGTTCTCCTGGCATGCGGTGCGGTGGGGATCAGGTGCACTGGAGCCCTCAAAGAGATTATGGCTCAACTTGAACAGCTGCCTGGCTCAGGCAGGAAGCCAGACCTCACAGTTTCCTCTCCCTACTGACTGAAATACGTGAGTGCTATTGTCAGGTCAGATGTGGGCCACTCAGGAAGTTCTAGTCTCAAGTCTAGAAAATGGATATGGGGTGAGATTATTGGTGGACAGCTACCTAAGATGAATGTGCCAGTTTCACAGGGGTTCCCAGAATGAGACTAGAAAGTTTCTGAATTCAGCGGCCAGAGATGTGGGTAGGGGAAGGTTAGAACACAAAGTCAAGGCGGGTCTGTTAGAATTTAGCAGGTATGACATGGATTGGCAGCGCTGGTTAAGGGCACTCCAGAAGGATACATTGCTGGGGTAAGAGGGGGGTGTTCACGGGAGGGTACCACAGGGTAGCTGAGGTCCAGGGCAATAAAGAATCTGAAGGTGGATAGGGAAAGACGGGGCCGACCTGCAGAAATTGAATGGTTTCCCCCTCAGCCCAGCTGGTCTCAGATCCACCAGTGGGGAAACACTTTACCCTGACGGAACCTTACTTACAGGTCGAGGGAGGGGTACCCCAGGGCCTTCCTCAGAGCTGTCCTCCCCCACCTCTTCAGACAGCACTCTGCAGGACACAGAGACCACACTTAGGTTCTGGGGGAGCTAGTCAAGGTTTAGAACAGAGATTGGGAACATATGCCTAGGGTCCATGGAAGCGGGAGTGCAGAAAAGGATGTATTTCTTACAGCTGGGGACACATTTGGAGGGGGGCATTCAAGACAGGGTTTCTGTGTAACTTTGGAGCCTGTCCTAGAACTAGGCTGGTCTCAAACTCAGAGAGATCCTCCTGCCTCTGCCTCCCAAGTGCTAGGATTAAAGGCATGTGCCACCACCACCTGGCATGGGGACACATTTTAATAAGCCGAATGGAATAACTCATAGGAAGCTGCAAAAACCATCCAATTGTGAGGCAAGACCATAGTTTCTCCAAAACTGCTATCCCAGATCTGGCCTCAAGACCTCAGGGCCTGTGAAGCCTGCAGAGCCTGGGTGACACCGTTTGCACCACATCGTCCTGCACTCTCCCCAAGGGACTTCTTGACTTGTGCCAAGCTTCCAGCACTAGCATCAAGAGAAAGAGGAAGACGGCATGAGAGCTTAGCTTTTCCAGAGTGGAGCCCCTGGCTACCACAGCGTGGGCCTCGGGTACTCAGGTCCTGGTGGAGAGAGTCAGTGAGGGGAGGAGGAGGCTGCTCCTGGTGGCTCCATCTCCAGGACCAAAATCCTGCCGTCTTTCCGTTGCTGACTGCCTCGTCTCTGCCTGCCTCATGTTGGTGCTGAGATGACCTAGCAGGGTGCACGACTTTTCTGTCCTCAAGGCAACAGAAACACCCATAATGTACCAAGAAAACTTCACAATCATCCTTGTGGTAAACTACTTTGGCCCCGTTTCTCAAGGTTTGGAGGCCAAAACTGAATAAGGTGGAGTCATCTGTCCAAGGTCACATCCTGGTAAGGGGCAGACTAGAACCTGGGTTGATGCGGCTCCAGCGTGGCAATTCGGTGTCTAGCCCAATTAAGCTAGTGGCCACCGTCTGGAGGCCCTGCTTGCACTCTACTTGGCTTGAACTTTTACCCCAGTGGAGTCAAGCCCCACATTTTTCTGGGAAGGAAGTTGTCCCAAAGGTGGCTCTTGCTCCAGTGACCCCAACTGGCTCTCCACTGTCATTCTCCACCACTGTACTCTCTTGGGTGCCATACCCACAGGCTCTCCAAGGCCTTACCTCAGAACCAGGCCTGAGGCCAGGAAGGAAAACTGTCAGGGAACTCAGCACTGACTGAGTATAACCCATGCTGTGTGTGAGACGAGAGGGCAGCAGAAGGCTGCGAGGTCAGGGCAGCCTGATGTCTGAAGACAGCCAGAGCCAAAGGGCAAAGGCAAGAAAGACCGCAATATTCACACAGGTTTTGGCAAGCAAGGATCAAGTGGCACAGGAGGTGAGGAAACTTGCCCCGGTTATACCCGATGTTACCCTCCCAGGTTCTTTCTGGAACAGCCATGAGGGAAAGCCCAGGCTCCCTCCTTCAAAGGAAGCCAGAGACAGCCTGAGGGTAAGTCACCAGGGCCAGATACTGGGGCTCTGAGACCTGCAGGATGGTCTCTGCCAACACAAATATACCCTTTAACCACAGCAGCAGACATCACTCTCGCAGGGTGAAGTCCAGAAATACAGACTCCTAGAAGGCAAGCGCCTGGCTTCTATTCTCAGCTTGTATCATGGGACTTCAGGCAGGCCTTCTCTTAACACCTTGACCCTCCTGCCTGGACTGTGGCATTTAGATGCCAGCCTGAAAGTTCTATTTTGCTGATTTGGATTAGAATATAATGAAGCTATTTCCTGTCCTGCCCCTGGACCCAGAAGAGTCCACATCCAAATCAGACCAAATCAAACTGAATTTTAAAAGCCCACATTTAGTGGATACAATGCTCCCAGATGCCCCCCCCCCCAGTCCCCCAGAGAGGAGATGGGAAAGAGAAACTGTTAAACCACAAGTCTACTTTCTGGGGGACAGTTTAGATACCCTGTGGAAATGGTCTTGAGCATCTCTGGGGGAGGGGTTCACCATTTGGCAGGCTTTCTGAGATGCAGCAGGGTTTGGAGGGAGATAGGGGAAGTAGAACTTCCACCATAATATTCTAGACTTTTTGGATATATGGATGACAGCGGCCAGGGTGAAGCATCCACCATAACATGTGTCAAAGACCCTCAACTCCACCCTCAGATATGGCCCCCATGCTCAGCCTAGGCCCAGTCAAGGAAGGGTATGTAGGCATACCCAGGTTGGAGGTGGATGGTGTTAACCCAAAGAATGAGCTATTCAGAGCAGCCCCTATGGTATCCAAGGCCAGGATTCAGCCTCCATATCCCTACCCCTCTTCATGTGCTATCCTTAAACTGGGCCCCACCCTCACCACACAGACAGTCTGCTTGACTTGCTGGAGTAGGAGGAGGCTCTCAGGCTTAATCCTACATGGAGACAAGGGCCCACAGACACTGATAACAAAACAAATGGTTTCCCATTTATTGCTCTCTCAGAACTTTACTGGCCACATTTCCCAACATCTTCACAGAAGTTTCACCAACAGGAACACCAAGCAGCCTGCTACACTGAGGGGCTAGGCAGGAAACACAGCCCTTGAGTTCCTGTTCTTTACTGCTCCAGGAAGAACACTCCATCCTTGTTTCCAAGTCTCCTAGAGACATCCATCATGGAGAAATCACAGAACCATGGGCCACGCCTGGGTTCTGAAAAGCACTAACGCCTCCCTGTGAACAGTGCTCCATGCAGGATCAGTCAGGCATCCAGCAGGCTAGAATCCTGGCCAGCTGCTCAGAGTAGCCACACTATGGTGCAGACTTCTGGATGTGCAGGAACCGGGGCCTAGGGAGACAGGATGAGCATCTGGGTATCATCTACGCTCTAAGGAATGCACAGGAGTGGGGACTGCCAGAGCATGGAGGTTACGCTATGGGAACTATAGCCTCACCTCCCACAGAAGTCCTTCCGTACCGCCACAAGACCGAGGTGCAGGTCAGGCCGACTCTGAAGCCAGCTGCTGACAAGCTCTGGGTGCCTTGTGTCCACTTCTAAGAAGATGCTTCTACACGGGGAGAAAGGGGTCAGCTCAATTAGGAAGGGCCAGGGCCTGTGCTTCTGCAATGTCTGGCAAGCAAGAGGCAGGGGCACAATGACGCCAAGGCATGCCAATTACACAGTGGATGAGGAGGAGGCTGGTGTCCATACCCAGAGGTGTTCAAGAGCCGAGGTGCCAAGGTCAAGATGTGGGTAATGATGTCCATGCCTTCCTCACCACCATCCAGGGCCGCCAGGTCTTCATAACTGAATGGGAAACCAATGGCAGCTAAGAGCCTGCGGTGGCCAGGCAGGCCTTCACAAAGGGCCTGCTGGGACTTAAGACTCTGGGTTGAGAGGTAAGCTGAGGATCCATTAGCAAATGGTTCCTAAATGGATAGCAGGTTTTTACTTTCCCCCATAGGGCAGGGCTAGATGGACTTGCTGAGTCCCATTGACAGACAGCCCTCAGGGCATGAGGCGCCCTCAGAACCCAGCTGCTCCTGCTCTTGATCTGAGGACATTTAAAACCCGATCCTGACTACTCCTTTGAGCCCAGAAAAGAGGAGCCAGCACCCACCCCATGTCACCAGTGCTTATGTAGGGACACGTGGTTACCCTGAGTTTCCCATCCTTATAAATGCAGGATGGCTTTTCCACAACCAGAGGTTTCAGTGCTGGCTTTCCCACTAAATCCTCATGGACCCTTAAACAGGACACCCTTCCTCTCCCGGCCTCGGTCTGGTGTAAAATGACACATCCCTCTACGAGTGCCTTCTATTAGGTCTCACTGTGCCCGATGCTAAGTCCTTCCCACGGTCCTGCAAGCACTACCACTCTGCTTTCAAAGCAGGAAACGGAGGCTCAGGGAGGCTAGGGGTCTCCAGGTGTCAGAAGTGCAAAGCTGAAAGCTGTCTCAGTAAGGCAGCGGGCTCTAAAATGTGCCTCTTAACACTGCTGCCCCCTCTGGGCTCCACCTGTTTTCTCCAGATGGAGTCTTTCAGCTCAGGCCAATCCTACTAAAGCTTGTCTCCATTCCACCACCCTGTACCTGCAGATCTCCGGGGCCAGTTGTTCCATGTCCTTGTGGAAGATGTAGGGAGGGTTACTGACCACCACGTCCACAGGGCCCCAGGGCAAAAGGTGTGTCCAGCACCCTTCTGTGGGCAGAGAGGACACATAGAACGAACTGGTCCACTGAGAAGGAAAAGTTGGGAGCTCTACCTGCCACCTTGTCCCTTAGGTAGTCCCTTGCCCCAAGTTATACTGAGGGCCTGTCTCTAGACCTGGTCAGACTTGAAGATTAGTAGCCAGAGTCCCCACTTAGCAGACTGGCCGGGAGCGGACAGTCCTTCACCTAGCATGTCCAGGTTTTCTCTGCTTCTGTCAAGGCATTAAGCAATCAAGTGCCACCTCCAGGAAGCCCTCCCTGATTACACAGGCAGAAGAAGGGCTTCCCACTCTCTGCTTTATAACCGATATAATCTCCCAGCATAGGGAGGACAGGCCATTCTTAGGCAACCCCTATGGTTGTGTCTGGGTCCCACTTGTACCAGACGCTAAACCAGGTATATCACACTGACACAAGCTCAGGGACTCCACAGCTAACAGAAGGATCAGGACTGAAGCTGGGAACCTGAGGATACTGCAGAGCTCCCCATAAGTCTGGCACCGCCTGACCACCTCTTCCGGGTCAGGTGGAGACAGAGAGATACATATGTATTTAGGTCCTAAAGTTTTCTTTCTCTGTTGTTGCTATTTTGTTTGATTTTTGTTTTTGTGTTTTGAGATGTTTCACTTTGTATCCCAAGCTGGTCTAGAACTCACTATATTTCCCCAAACAGGACTTGAATTCATAGGAGGCCTTCTGCCTCCCCACTGCTAAGAAAACAGGTATAGGCCACCGTACCTGGCTCTGAACTGCTTTCTTTTGAACATCTGTTTATCTCTTGCTAGTTGTGGCTGGGCAGGGGTGGCACACACCTTTATTGGCACCACTCAGGAGGCAGAGACAGACAGTCAGGGCTACACAGAGAAACCCTGTCTCACCACCTCTCCACCCCTGCAAAAGACCTTGTGGCTAGTGCCTTCATGGTCAGATCAGCCAAGGGGACAACAGCGGCACCCTGTCTGTCCTCAGTAAGGGCTGGTCTGAGATGGTCCACTGGCCCACAGGTATGGTTACTGGGAAACGCTTATCCCATTTCTGCAGAGTCTCACCCATCAGCAAATCTTCTATCCAGGACATCCACCCCAAGAGGAGTAAGGGGATGTACCTGAGGTTACATCAAGGGGAATGATCCGAATCCTGTCCTGCAACTGAAGCCTGGAGAGATGGGGAGGAAGTGGTGAGCACAGAATGCAAGCTGTTACCCCTGGTTACAAGGACCAAGAGGGAAAGAGCCCTTCTTGGATCAGCAACATAGCCACTGCTCATAGTCCATCCATTTATAAACCCGTGGGACCAAAGCCAGGCTACCCCCATTGCACCTCTCCCTCAAGAGTGGAAGTCAGACACTAGGTTTGATACTAGAGTAAAGGTCAAGTTCAGGTCCCAAAGACCAACTCCCCAGTGGCGGCTCTCGGGACCTCCCAGCCCATATACCTCTGAGCATTCTCACGGGTCAGGCTAACAGCGGCTTCTTCCTTATCCACAGCAATGACTTGACTCTGCCCCAATAACAAAAGGAGAGAGGTGGAACTCTGGGAGATGTTTGTCTGGGAACTTTCCCCTAGCTCCCCAGAAGAAAGAAATATGTAGCAAATTTTCCTATAGTTAGGTTCTAGCCAGACCTATAGGGATGGAAGTGAGAGGTGATCGCCATACTGTGCTGGTCACACCTTCCTTTTCGGGCCCCTTTCCCTCAATGCTTCTGCAGAGGATGTGGAGAAAGGGCCAGGGGGTGACTATCTCGGTGTCAGGTAAAGGCAGGGTAGAGAGATGAGGAGGGGGCTTACCTGCGGGAGCTGACTCAGCAGGCTGAGGGCAATGGCTCCTGATCCACAGCCCACTTCCAGAAAGAGGGGACCACCTTTGGTTCCCACTGCAGGGGGCCTCCGGGCCACTTCCTCTAAAACCCATTCAACCAGTTCCTGGAAGGCAGAGGGTCTGGCTCAGACTGGGTGTCATTCTTGTTCCTGGGGAGCCTTAACAAAGAGGTTCAAGCAGCTGGCTCCTAGTGAAGGCAGATGGGGAACTGCCAAAGCCAAAGTGATCTTGACATCAGCAAGGACTCCGGATTGGTCATTCTGTCCCTGCATGCCTCAGCAGAGGTAGATGGATCTCTGTGTGTTCGAGGCCAGCCTGGTCTACAGAGTGAGTTCCAGGACAGCCTCCAAAGCTACACAGAGAAATCCTGTCTCGAAAAAACAAAAAACAACAACAACAAAAGATCCTGGGTTTCACCCTTAATACCATGGGGGTAAAATAAATAAACCAGGGGTGGCTGGTGTGTCCTCAGCTTTTTCACAGAGCTGAGTTTGGGAATTTCCTTCGAAGGAAGGCTTCCTTAGCCCCTGTGGAGTGTCTCTGTTGACTTGGGAGGTCCTAAACTGTGCCCCAAATCAGACCTGGCCACCCATCATCAATAAACCAATAAAAAAGAGCCAAATTAAAAGTAGAAAGCAGCCAGGTGGTGGTGGCGCATAGGAGGCAGAGACAGGCGGATCTCTGTGAGTTCGAGGTCAGCCTGCTCTACAGAGTGAGTTCCAGGTCAGCCAGGGCTACACAGAGAAACCCTATCTCAAAAACAAAAACAAAACAAAAAAAAACAAAAACAAAAACAAAAAAAAAGTAGAAAGCACAAAAGGAAGCAAAGGGAAGGGAAGGGAAGATTTATTTAATTGGCCACACTGAGAGGACAAAGAGATCCAGCAAACCACTCAAGTCCATCTGATTCCTGAAGTCAGATCAAAAATTAAATAGTGAGTCAAGGATACCCAGGTCTAAGCAGTCCAGGTCAAGGTGTGGTCCTTCCCACCACAGATTCATCATTGTCTGGGATTCAATCTCATCTGTTAGATGGTCTGACAAGTTAGGACTGTGTGGATCCCTCTGTGGGAGACACACTCCCCCTCTGACTAACTAGTCTCAGGAAATCTTTACTTCTTTGGGGTCCACTGTTTCCAACAGTCTGACAGACTGAGGGACACAGTTGTTTCTTTAGAACATCTTCATTCTGCAGACCAGTTACATCTCTACAACCCAAAGATTTTTCAACCTGACTTGAATATCTAGGATAGGGTTTGCCTCTCGTCATATTAAGTTATGAGGAGACCTTGGGTCTGACCCATCTGTCAGGCCCAGTGGAGCAAACAGCACCAGATCATCCAAACCCCCTTTCCTTTTAAGTTTGTCCTGCTGAGTCCCCGAAACCATTTTGTCTTCCTAGGGCCCCAACCTCAGTGGCAATGCTCATTCACACCAAAGGTAACAAGTCCAAAGCAGGCAGGAGTTGGAGAGTTGGACCAGCCCTCCCTGTTCCAAGCTTCTTCTGCACTAAAAAGCTACTGTCTATAGGTGAGGGAGGTTGGTTCAGTCTTATGTCAGGCAGAAATGAGTGTAGAACACTGGAGTATGTACACCAAACTGGGCTTATAACTGGTGAACGGCTTGCAATCCAGGCTGTGACTGAGAGACTGTGGTAAAGGCAACAGGCTGAAAGACCAGCACAATGACAGCCTACATTAGGGGTGTGAGTTTCTCTGGGTTTCCTGGCCACAAACAGCCCACTCTGGCTGGAGGATGACCCCTCAGCCAGCCCACACTGGCTAGCCACCTCACAGAGGCATCCCTGACCTCAGACACACACATCATCCATGCAAATGGCTACCTGGGGCAGGGTTGAGAGATTGGGCTCCCTCTGCTACCAGTGACCTCTTACCTTCCCTTCTACCACAGGCCATGGAAAGCTCATCTTGATGGTAGGACCATCCAGGGACCATGTGGAGACTATCAGGAAGTCTAGAAAATTCTTTCCTATGCAGTAAAAACCTTCCCTCTACCTAAAGCTCTTTGGGAAGGATCTGAGTCACGGTGGTCATGGACCCAGATCATCTGTTCCAACTGAATCCAGAAAGAATCCAAAACATGGAGTGGCAGAAGGAGAGAAATATGAGGCAGGGAAGGGGCAGTGGGTGGTTTTGCGTAGAGCCATTGCTCCAGACGGGACTGCATAGCCCTTGTGTAGCCCTGAGGTCTCAGAAGGACGTCCCATGAACATCCTCTGTTAGGATCATATCCCTGGTGGGCTGACCCTCGTCAGGTGTGCCGCCTCCCTAAAACAATGACAGCACTGAGCCTCTCACAGCCTGTATAGTCATACCACACCAGATGGGGATGGAATGGCTCCCACCCCAGCCTGAAGTTTCCTACTGTATGCAACCGCCACACAGGAGACTCATCCACCCTCTCACCCCTCAGGGAAAACCAAGCTCATCAGGCCACAAGCCACTTGCAGTTTTGCATCTCAGACTTTCACACCCACCATCAAAAACCGTCCTTTGATGGATAGAGAATACAGACTCCGTGACCCCTCCCCTACACCCGATCTCTCCACTCTCTGCCACAGGCCACGTCCTCTTGATTTCTTAGTAAAGCAAGTCTGCCTGATGTGGCTTCGCATTGGGGCGAACCTGGTGAGTTCTCAGAAATGTCTGTACAGTGAGGCAGACCTGGCCTCCCAACCACAGCATCCTCACCCTTCCCCTCCTCAAAAACACCCAATGGGTGGGGCACACGGGAGTTGAAAGCTCACACCCAGCACCCGGAATCCAAAAACACACAGCAGATACCACCACGATCGCTGCCCTTCTATGTTCTGAGCCTTGGCTGTCCCCAAGGATGGCAAGTGATCTCCTGGCCAGAAGCCACATGTAGAGGAAGCTACAGGGTAATCCCCCAAAAGCCTGACGATGACAGGCCACATCCTGCTTTTGAGAGTCTGTACCCCATCCACGGTTATGTCAGCACTAAACAGGACAGTCAGAAAGTTCAGGTGCAGCCCTTGGGTCCCTTCCTTGACAGCTCTGTGACTTCTCACGGCCTCAGACTTCCTGCAGCTCTGCCCCAACTTTGGGGAAGGAGGTGAAATTCAGTCTCCCAACCACATGATCACGCCAGGTGATCAACAGATTCTTTTTTTTAATGTGTATAGTGTTTTGCCGGTATGTATGTCCATGTACTGTGAGCATGCAGTGTCCACAGAGGCCAGAAGAGGATGTCGGATCCCATGGGACTTCAGTTATAGATGGCTGTAAACCAGTGTGTGGGTTCTGGGAATTGAACCCAGGTCCTCTGGAAGAGCAGCCAGTGCTCTTAACCACTGAGCCATCTCTCCAGAAAGATCAGAGAATTCTTGACCAAGGGACAGAGAATGAAAGAGTGAAGAACAGACGTCTCAAAGACCCTGGCTGGTAAAGGTGGAAGGGGATGGACTTTTCCCAGGAATGTCTATATGCCAAGGTATCTTTCCAGAAATAATCTTTTCCAGAGTACAATCCCCTCTGATTTTGCTCAGAATCCCCTTTGCTGCCCTACTTCATGCCAGAGTCCACTCTCTAGCTTCCAGGTCTGCCATCAACAAAATAAGAGGGACACCCAGGAAGGACAGAAAAAATAACATCTTTCCTAGATCAGGGAGTGTCCCCAAGGGACAGCATGCATGGGCCACACAATCCCCAGTCCTGGTAATCTCAGGGACTGACACAAGCAGTCACCTGGCCAGACAACAGATGTAAGCAGACCACTGAGTCACACATGCCCTGGCCTGAGGGGCCGACACTCTCATCATCCTAGCCCAGAGTAGGTAGCAACCACCTATAAAATCACACTGTTCATACTAGGCTTCCAGGTGTCCAACTGGGCCCCTCTACTTCTCCCCTGCTCTCTAAGCTGCTGGAGGCCATTTATTTCCCATAGGTTGAGTCTGCCTTGGGCCTATGCGATAGCTCCTAAGGAATGGCCACAATGAGCTGAGCTCTGGGACACTAATTGGAGCATTCTTTGTCACTTCCAGCCCTTGGAGCCTGGGGCAGGGGCTTGGAATGTGAAGAGAGTCAAAGGGAGAGGGTAAGAGGCGTCCTCTACACAGCTCAGCCAACCTAGCCAGCAAGGAGACATGGGGAAGGACACTACCCGTGAAGGGCAGCCATGGGGCCCCAGCACCCCCTGGAGGAAGTCTGGGGCAAGACGGATACCTTGAGCCTTTTCTCATCTCCATCCAGACCTGTCCCGGTGATATACTCACTTCCGTCTCTGGCCGAGGAATGAACACTGGGGGTGCCATCTTCAGAGTGAGGCCCTGAAAGTCCCACTCCCCAAGGATATACTGCACCGGCATCCTGCAAGTGGGGCATCCAGGGAGTCATCAGTAACAGAACCAGGATTAGTAAGGCCAGAGCTGAGTTGAAGACTACTGCAGCCAGGGCTATCAGGCAGGGTCCCGTCTGCAATGCCCTAGGACACGGTCTAGGCCTGCCCTCTGTCGCTTCTCTAATTTTACTACACCAGTCCCTCTCTCGACACTTCCTACCCCAACAGCTCTCTAGTCCTTAGACACTTTATTCCTCCCTGACCATAATTTGGTGGGACTAGGGAAGAATGATTCTCTGTTCCTAACTCGAGAGTCCTCACATCTGTCCATGGCTGCTTACCTCTGTAATCGATGGCTACATAGTTCCTGGATGCACTGCAGCTGTTTAGGGGTCAGTGGCTTGGTCCAAAGTACTGGTTTCAGGCTCTGAAACTGTTGCCATGGAGAATGTGAGTGGCTGGTTCCCTTGCTGTCTTGTGTGGACTCAACACTAGCCAGTTGATCATCCCTGATCCTATAGTGCTGGAACACACTATAATAGTTTTTCGGATGAACAAATAAATATCTGCCTGAAACATTTGTTCAGCAAAACCCCACGAGTCTCAGCTCAGCACCCTGATTGAGGCAAATAAAATAAAAAAGAACAAATAAAAAATCCCTCAATATCTGTTTCCGGGGTCTCCCTCCTCCCTCTTCCTATCCTCCCCAGCATGGCACTTAACTGTTTTGGCTCCAAGAACATGAGCCACGATGTACTCACTGGATTCCCGGGCCTCTGGGATACCTCTTTCCTCAAAGACCCGTGTCCAGTGACTGACCACCCCTGTGGCACTCCACAGCCCAGGCAGAGATGAATGAGACTTCCATGGGTTGAGGGCCCAGACCTGGGGGGCTCCCCTCCTTCCCCTGGGACCAGACAGGAGGGTCCAAAGTATTCGCCCCCAAGGTTTCATGTCTTGGAGAAAGGTTTGCAAGTCCCTAAGTTCCCCTTGTGATGCCAGTCATTGAGGGGGCTGCTGGGCGTGATCCCTAGGCTGGGCTGGGTGCAGAAGGGTCAGTCATGGGCTCTGGCTCTCCAGTGTTTTGTTTCTCAGATGCTGTTGTCACCCTAAAGGAGCATGTAGAAAGATTCAAAATATGCCTGAAAAGAGTATGCTTTTAGTCTGTCACTTCCTGGACTATATTCACACACACCCTCAGCCACCCATTTGATTTCTTCTTGTCTTGGCCAGGTTTTTTGTTACTATTGTTGTTGTTTGTTTTTTTTTTCAGTTGAAGTAGGTTGAATTGGTAGATCGTGGCCCCTGCTAACAGACAAGGTGTGGGTTTAGGAGCAGGGCATATGCCAGACCCCAGTGTGTGTGTGAGCTCAGTCAATCGTTGTTTCTGACTTCCAGTTTGAGCACCCATAATATACGGGAAACAGCAGCAGTTCTATGGTGACTGATACCCTGACCACGGGATGTCAAGGGCCTGGAAGACAGTACACCACATTCCAGGGACTCACTAATGGATGGCAGGAGACTGTCGTGCTTGGGAGCTTCGCTTCTGACATTCTGTATGCACCACCATTGTTTGGAAGCTGGTTTTTGTTTCCTCTAATTTAACCCACAACCCCAGACATTAACATAAATTGAAGGGTGGAAAATTAAGCGATACATTTAAGTTAACATAAGTAAAGTTATCGGAAAACTTAAAATCGGTGGTCCCCTCTACTTCCAAGCAAACTAAGTAAGGTTCAAACTAACATCTGCTGGGACTTCCTCACTGCCGAAGCCTCAAAGACAGGGCTCCAGACGGAAGCAACTTGTACCCGGTTCCGGAAGGAAGCAAAGCTCGAAGTCCCGACACAACCTCCATCCCAAATTCGCAAGGACATTATCAACGACTCAGGTTAAGTGCGCCTCTCCGAGCCTGTATCCCCGGACTATGAGGGATAGGGCCGGCCTGGCGTCAAAAGGCAACGCTGCCGTCCATGCATTCACATCCCGATCTCCACCGCCGGTGCATCCCTGATTAAGGGAATGCACGCTTGCCCTACCTACACACCGGCACCGGGAAACAGCCCCAGGGTCGCCCCCGGATGTGCGTAGCCTGCATTGCACTCCCTCAGCACCTTGCTTCCGTCTCAGTGCAGTTAAGAAAGGGCTCGGGTGCACCACGTCTCCCTGATCTAGGGTTCCTACAGCGGAAGGATTGCCCCTTTGAAGATTACGGGAAGGTGGGGAGGCTGAGCTGACTTGCACCCACCCGCAGCCCCACTCTGCAGGGTGCTCTGTAGGGTTCCAGACCCATGAATCTTCCTTAAGGTCGAAACAGAGATGTGACTCCAACCTACTAGTGATTACTTGAAGCACACGTGTTTACATATCCAGCCGGGGCGGTGGATGGGCAGAAACAAACCTTGAGGATGTCACGCTTGTGCGCTGTGTTTCCGAACCAGGCTAGATCGGGAGAAAGGGTGCTGTTCTAACCTCTCGTAAGCCGGGTCTAGCAGCGTGCGGTTGGGTTCCAGTGTTTGGGAGCAGTCTCTGTTTTCAGGAAGGGACCCTCTTGACCTCACATACACATAAAGTTTGGACCAGATAGCAGAAAAGAGAATACTAGAAAACTGGACTTGAACCCTGATTTTGTTGGCAACTCGTTGCTTAACTTGTTTAAGTGCCCAGTGTGGGCATTTTGGCTGGATCGGGATGGGTCAGGTATTCTGGCACTCGGGAGTCACAGAATACTGAGTGTTACACAGCTCAGGTGGAAAGGTATCCTGGAACTCGGGAGCCAAGGACTACCACAGACCCCAGTAAGCATAGCAGTTTACAGCCTTGCCTTAGTGTATTGGCTCCACTCTGGCAGGACAGAGTCTTCTAGCTGGGGATGTTTGCCCAGTGTAGCAGTTTTGCTCCGCAGGAGGTTTCTCGGGCGAAGTTGCTACAGTTCAGCTCTGCTCAGGGAGCGCTTGAGAGCGGGAGAGTGGATCTGCCAAGAGAAGGTTTCCCACCGGGCGTTGGTGGCGCACGCCTTTAATCCCAGCACTCGGGAGGCAGAGGCAGGCGGATCTCTGTGAGTTCGAGGCCAGGCTGGACCGACAGCCTCCAAAACAGAGAAACCCTGTCTTGTAAAACCAAAAAAAAAAAAAAAAAAAAAAAAAAAAAAAGAGGTTTCCCTGGCAAAAGTGTTTCAGCCCTGCTTGCTCTGCTCTGTTGCAGCAGGCGCAAAAGAATTAAGATCTTCACTCAAAGCTCACTGAAGGGGTTCATTGGAAGGAAGAATCCAGGAGAGTGGCTGCCCTCTGCTAGAGTGGCAGAGGACAGCCCAGGGTAGTGGGAACAGTCACAAGCTTAACAGACACAGGGTTTATATAGGGCTTCCAGGGTGGGGATTGGTCAGATTTTAGTGCTGAGCTCAGATTGGCTAGAGCTCTGGTCCAGGATTGGTTAGTTTTCTGCACAGGATTAGGGTCAGATTTGGCTCTGGTTTCAGGGCCAAAGTGTGTTTCTTTCTCTGGTCCTTTTTAGCCTTTTGGCTCCAATTTTAGGGCCAGGGTGCATTTCTTTCACTGACTCTGATTCCAGGGACAAAGTGTGTTTCTTTGGCACTGGTTTTAGGGTCAGGGTACATTTCTTTAGTTCTGGTTGCAGGGCCAAAGTGTGTTTCTTTGGCTCTGCTCAGGGTGTGTTTCTTTGGCTCTGCTCAGGGTGTGTTTCTTTGGCTCTGCTCAGGGTGTGTTTCTTTGGCTCTGCTCAGGGTGTGTTTCTTTGGCTCTGCTCAGGGTGTGTTTCTTTGGCTCTGCTCAGGGTGTGTTTCTTTGGCTCTGCTCAGGGTGTGTTTCTTTGGCTCTGCTCAGGGTGTGTTTCTTTGGCTCTGCTCAGGGTGTGTTTCTTTGGCTCTGCTCAGGGTGTGTTTCTTTGGCTCTGCTCAGGGTGTGTTTCTTTGGCTCTGCTCAGGGTGTGTTTCTTTGGCTCTGCTCAGGGTGTGTTTCTTTGGCTCTGCTCAGGGTGTGTTTCTTTGGCTCTGCTCAGGGTGTGTTTCTTTGGCTCTGCTCAGGGTGTGTTTCTTTGGCTCTGCTCAGGGTGTGTTTCTTTGGCTCTGCTCAGGGTGTGTTTCTTTGGCTCTGCTCAGGGTGTGTTTCTTTGGCTCTGCTCAGGGTGTGTTTCTTTGGCTCTGCTCAGGGTGTGTTTCTTTGGCTCTGCTCAGGGTGTGTTTCTTTGGCTCTGCTCAGGGTGTGTTTCTTTGGCTCTGCTCAGGGTGTGTTTCTTTGGCTCTGCTCAGGGTGTGTTTCTTTGGCTCTGCTCAGGGTGTGTTTCTTTGACTGGCCCCTTTTCCCTACACCCAGGCCTTTCTCGGCTTTAGGTGCACCTTTTATAAAATTCATAGCAGTTGCAGACCTGGTTGCACAGGCATGTAATCACAGTTACTGGAGAGGCCGAAGCAGGAGGGTCATAAGTTCACGGCCAGCCTGAATAATTTAGTAAAAACCTGTCTCAAAATTAAAAAGGAGGGAGGGAACCTTGAAGAGATGGCTCAGCGGTTAGGAGCACGCATTGCTCTTGCAGAGGATTGAACTTCAGTTCCAGGTACCCACAAAGGGAGGCCTCAGTGGGCACCTGTACTCACATGCACATATCTACCCAAACACACATACTCATAGTTTTGAAAAATAAAATTTAAAAATGTTCAAAAATAAAATATAGCCCATGGGGTAGCTCAGTTGTTGATGTTCTCACCTAACATACATAAAACTCTGGGTTTCATTCCCATAAATGGTATATGGTGATACACACTTATAAATTCCAGCTCTAGGGAGACATGGAGACCTTCTGGCTCATCTTTCAAGGCCAGACTGGGCTACATGAAACCTGTAGGCATTTCAGGCAGATTGGGTGGGACAGGTATTCTGGCACTCGGGAGTCACAGAATACTGAGTGTTACACAGCTCAGATGGAAAGGTATCCTGGAGCTTGGAAGCCACAGGCCGCAGTAAGCAGAGCAGCTTACAGCCCTGCCTCAGGAAAAGGCTTACCCAGTGTATCGGCTCTGCTCCAGCAGGAGAGGGTCTTTCAGCTGGGGATGTTTGCCCAGTGCAGCAGTTTTGCTCTGGGAGGAGATTTCCCAGGTGAAGTTGCTATAGTTCAGCTCTGCTCGGGGGAGAGTCAAAGAGCAGAGTGTAACAACTCGGCTCTGCAAAAGTGTTACAGCCCTGCTTGCTCTGCTCTGCCCAGGATCGTCTCTGCTCAGCCGCAAAAGAAGGTCTTCACCCAAAGCTCATCGAAGGGATTTATTGGGAGGGAAGAATCCAGGAGAATGGTTGCCCTCTGCCAGAGTGACAGAGGACAACCGGGTAGTGCAAACAGCCACAAGCTGAACAGACACAGGGTTTATATAGGGTTTTCAGGGTGGGGATTGGTCAGATTTCAATGCCAAGCTCAGATTGGCTAGAGCTCCTGCTCAAGGATTGGCTAGTTTTTTGCACAGGGTTAGGGTCAGATTTGGCTCTGGTTTTAGGGCCAAAGTATGTTTCTTTCTCTGGCCCTTTTTAGCTTTTTGGCTTTAGTTTTAGAGCCAGGGTGTATTTCTTTCACTGGCTCTGATTCCAGGGGCAAAGTGTGTTTCTTTGGCCCTGGTTTCAGGGTCAGGGTGCATTTCTTTAGTTCTGGTTGCAGGGCCAAAGTGTGTTTCTTTGGCTCTACTCAGGGTGTGTTTCTTTGGCTGGTCCCTTTTTCCTACAAAACCCTGTTCCAAAAAAGAAAAAATTGAAAATTGGAGAAGGGAGGGGGGCTGTGTTGTGTAATATAATACTTGTTTAACTAAGATATGTTACATTTATGTTGCAGAATAATTGTTTAACTATGTAAAGATGTGTTTCACCTTGCATGCCTAAGACACCTGATTGGCCTAATAAAAAGCTGAATGGCCAATAGCTAGGCAGTAGAGGGATAGCTGGGGTTGGCGGCAGAGAGAACAAGTAGGAGAAAGAATCTAGGCTCCAAGGAGAATGAGGGAGAAAGAGAGGGAGGTGCCCAGGGCCAGGCAGGCAGGCAGGCAGTCACCAGACAGACAGACACAGAGTAAGACGGTACAGAATGCAAGAAATACAAAAAGTCCCAGGCAAAACATAGATGAAAAGAAACAGGTAATGTAAGTTATAAGAGCTAGTGAGACAAGCCTAAACTAAGGCTGAGTGTTCATAACTGATAAGTTTCCGGGTCATGATTTGGGGGCTGGCAGTCCTGGAAAGCCTGCTACAGGGCTGGGAACTGGGTGTACTGGTGCACACCTATAAACCCCAGTACAAGGGGGTGTGGGGAGATGGCTCAGCAGTTAAGAGCACTGGCTGCTTGTCCAGAGGACCTAGGCTCAATTCTCAGCACTCATGTGGAGGCTAACAGCAGTCTGTAACTCCAGTACCAGAGGATCCAATGTCCTCTTCCAGCCTCCTCAGGCACCAAGCACACACGTGGTGCACAGATATGCATGCAGATAAAACATCCTTACACACAGAAATCAATTAAAATTCAAAATCCTAGTCAGCACCCAGGAAGTGGAGGATGGCCTTGGTTCAAGGCCAGTCTGGGCTACATAGTATCAGGCCTTCTTGGATAACAGTGTGATTCCTTGTCTGGGGGACAGGAGAGGGGGACATAGTTTCAAATGGCTGGGGATATAACTCTGGAGTAGAGGGAATTAGTGCCTCTGCCTTGAGATGAATTTTTTTCTGTGGATAAAAACTATTATGAGGGGTACAGGGCTTGGATCAGGGCACACAATTATAATGCCATTAGATAATTCCATTCTGCTTCCAACATCTCTGGACTGAAGATTCTCCATTTAAAGGTCCATAGTTGTAGTCATTTACCCAAAAAGCCTTTTCATCAGGGTTCCTATCTAAGCAGGAGGCGGAGACAACAGGAAGGGAAGCAGTTCGCGGTTCAAGGACATAAACTCAGTACAGGATCAAGCCAGAGTTCAATTTAGGCTTCAAAGATTCCGAGTCTAATGCTCTCACCAAACCTCTGTACCTGTGCATTTCTGACTTACAAGTCTGTCCCAGTGCGGGCGGAGCTGGCCAGGAGCCCGAATTCTGGTCCAGAAAGGGTCTGATCACCTACGACCCACTGCCCAACTTCCGGCAGGCCACCAGGATCAGAGGTATCCTCGGAGAATCTCTTTTGATAGTCAGGTTTCGGCTCCCATCTCCCGCTGGGGGCGGAGCCATATTCGAGCGACAGGCGAGTGGGCCAATGGTGGTTTGGTTTCTAGACCTGGCAACCAATCAGGACCCTGAGGCGCGGAGGAGCAAGGCTCTCCGGCTCCTGGGGATCCCCGAGGCTGCTCATCCCAGCCCCACCCCCTCCATGGTCCCGGCCCAGCCCACCTTATCTCAGGCTGTCATCCGGCGCAAGCTAATACTAGCTGATCCCTGCGTTCAGGAAAGGAGGACCTTGGGTCGGACCTGTCACCCCCAACGCCCAGGCCTGGGTGTTCCCCCCTGCCCACGCCTCCCGCCCGTCCGTCGCTACCACCCTTAGCCTCTCAGACTGAGCTCCGCGTCCCAGAGAGGATTAAGTAAGTGCCTGAGATCGGCTGCTTCTGAGCAAGAATGGAGGAATCACAGGGTCGTGGAGGCGGGCGTGGGGACTGAGGCAGGAAGGACTGAGAGACCTTGTGGAGAACGGCATGCAGCTTCTTGGAGGTCGCGGTGCCCACCACTTTGACCCCAGTGTTCTTCCCTCCCCCTTTGGATCCCAAGGCAGACCAAGAAAATAGCCAGCAGGGTGCTTTCTCTCCCTTTGGCTCATAATGAACCGAGACTCGGAGCAAGTTACGGGTCTGGTCCAAGGTCATGGCTGGGATCAGTGACAGAGCCCAGAAGTGAACCTGAGACTTCTTGCTGAGCCAGGCTGGAGAGGACAGGAAGGAGTAAGTCTACTCCATGCATGACCCTCTTGCCAGTTTTGTTCCTTCTTAAGGGACCATGATGGATATGTGCACACCTCTCACACATAATCTTGTACCTGCAAAAGGAGGCATCCCATGCACACCTATGAGCCACACAGAGAAACATGTATGTAGCCATAAGCTAAGGGTCCTTTCTTTCCAAGTCTGCCGGGCTGCACCACTGCTAGGACTCCTTCCCACCCTGCTTTACCTAAGACCCACAGGGCTGAGTGGTCTCCCACCCTCTGCTTCCAAAATAGGAGGGAAACAGGAGAAGGCGTTTCAAAGTGGGTATTAGTGCTGCCTTTTCAGATGTAGCTCCTTGCCTTCTAGGAGTGGAAGGAGGTGGTCCAACGAGCACCGCTGTCCACTTTCCCACCAGAGGATCTAACTCAGTCTATCCTTCCTGTCTTGTGGTGTCTTCATACCAACCCCACCCTAGCCCCAACCACACCCTGGGTCACACAGGGCCAGTGACTCCTGTGGTCTCCTTCTCCTGGCTTGTTGGTGGTAGTGATGGAGATTTGGAGCATTGACTGGGTGCCTTCTGTGCACAGGCCATGTGCTCAGCTAAGCCCTACCCCCACTCCCCACCCCCACCCCCTGGCGGCCGGGGGCGGGGGGGGATGAGACAACGGACTTGTTAATTCTAACATGCCACTAACCCTACAACATCATGGGGTTGCTCTTAACATTTCCCGCTTTGGAAAAAAACTAGACACAGAGAAAAGAGGTAAGTTGCCTGGGGTTATCCAGCAAGCCCATGATTTGAAATCAGGTCTGTCTGAATCTTAGGCAAGTGTTTCCCTTCAGAGATGGAAAAGGCTGCAGTTTTGTTTCTGTTTTTTTCCCAAGCATGATGACAGACGTGTGGGGTGTAGGAGTGAGGAGGTAGAAGCAGGAGAACTAGAGAATGCAGAGATATTTGTGCCAGGGGTAGACTTTTCCTTTCAGGCTATCTGCATCTTCTCCCAGCTTCCACGTATGATCAATACAATCATGTTTTCATGTCTCTGCATCCATTTGGGAACCATAAGCAAAGCCTGGGCCCTAATACTCCCCAAGCTTGACTTAGGTCTGTCTTGAAACCTTTACTTCCTCAGTGCCCTCAGATTCTTGGGGGATTTACCTCTGGCCATGCCCAGAGCGGTAACTCTTGCTCTTATTCTTGCCCTTCTAGAACCCAGGAGGCAAGGGTCTCCTGCTAAGGATTTGGCTGTGCCGGTGGTCATCACAGTGGTGGGAGTTACAGCCTTGGACACTCTTCACATCAGAAGTCAGTCAGCAGGTTGACCGAGCACTGGCAGTCTCCCAGCATCAGCATGAACTCCAGGGTCCCAGCTACTCAGAGCTGGTTCAGCGGCCACTCACCCACCACTGAGCCTGACTTGGAACCTGCCACTGAAGGGCCTACCACAGAGACCACCACCCTCAGTCCAGAAACCACAAGCTTCAATGGCACCAGAATCCCTGATACAACAGGTGGTGCGGCTGGCGTGGGTACCATGCTTCTGTCTTTCGGCATCATCACTGTGATTGGCTTGGCTGTGGCCATGGTGAGAGCTGGGGCTAGCTGGAGAAGGCCCAAAAGGCAGTCCTCTGGGGGAGGGTGATTAGTGTTTAGACTTATAGACAACCCAATTAGAAGACAACTGTCTATTAATGATAATGCAATTCCTTCCCAGCCCCTCCCCAATATTTATTTACTGGGCCTAGATAAGCAAATCTAATTGGAAGAGCCAGAGATATGTCTGAATAATACACGGAGGTTCAGTGAAGCAAAGGAGTGTAGGAGTTTCAGTAGCAGTAGAGGCCAGAGGTGGCTGGGCTGTTTCATGGGCTGCAGAGCTGGGTGGGATGCTTCTCGTGGCAGACTGTTGGCAGTTCATTTATGCATTCACTTGATGATTATTTACTGACTATCCTTCTTTACCCTTGGGACACCACAGGGCCCTGACTCGTGCTTCTTATGAAGAATGGGCTACTAGGCAAGGGTTTATGTGAGCTGGGTGGTCAGAGACAGCTGGTAAGAACCATCAGAGCTCTGGTAGGAGCCTGACCTCATTGTCACAAGAAGGGGCAGGTAGCCATCAGAACAAAGGTGAGCTAGAACACTGTAAGTATCCTTCAGCGGTGACACACACACAAATGCCATGAAAGAGCCACTAGAGATTGTACAAGTTAAGACTAAGGAAAGTGGGGTACACCTAGACTTCCCTAGAAGGCCTAGCAATAGTGGCAGTCTGTAATAGTAATAGTGGCCTAGTAATAGTGACACTCTGTAGTAGTAATAGTGGCCTAGTAATAGCAGGTGCAAAGTCCTATGTTCAATCTTCAGCACTGGGCTAAAAACAAACAACATACACACACATGCCCACACACTCACACACACATACACACATGCCCACACACACACACACTCACTCACATGCCCGCACACACAAAAGACGGGGATAGTCATCCAAGGCCTGGCTAGAGCTAGTGTTAAACTAGGGTTGCCATATGGGCCCGGCAGGCTTCGGGTCGATGCCAGGGAACAACTACTGGCCAGCGTGTAGGGCCAGGATGCATCACACGCAGAGGGAAGCCAGGAAGGAGAGCTTTTCTGGGGCAGGAATGAGGAAGAATGGCCGTGGGGGCTAAACCAGCCTGAGACACCCTAACCTCAGGGCCAAATGGCTTAGAGTCTGTCTCAATTCTAAGTGAAAGATTTTGACAGAGGAATTTGATAAGGCTGCCTTGCACTTTGTCCCCAAGGGACATTCAGGCCAGTGGATGACCTTCCCACCAAAGGTGGAGGGGCAGAAGGTGGTGGGACAAAGAGATTGGAGGGCAGGAAAGAGCTCTAAGGCACCCAGGGGAAGACTTCTAGAAAAGTCCCGAGTGCTCTTCCTTCCCCCTTGTGCCAGCCTTGAGCCGCACCACGGATGTATGGAGGAGTGGGTGCCAGCCTCCTGCCTCACACAGGCGTGCGAGAAGAGCAGGAACACTCCCGGGGAGACGCGGGGCTGGACAGGGAGAGGCAGAGAGATTTGAATGAAAGTGGAAGTGTGTGCTCAGCCGAGGCGGAAGGGCCGCAGGGCAAAGGCGTGCAGGCTGCATGGAGTTTCTGGCTGGCTTTTCCTGAGATTATCCTGAGTCACAGGCCTCAGGGGAGGGGGGAGATTTGGAGCAAGAGCCACGAGGCCAAGGTGCAAGAGCAGGGTATTGTGGCTGGAGCTCAGGAATCACTCAGAGACCCGAGCTTCCGTCTACCCACAGGACAGCCTGGAGTCACTCCCGGGAGCAGGTGGGTGAGCTGGGGACGGTTGAGCATCTTTTCCACTTGAGATCACACCGGAAAAGCTCTCTACCAGATCGGGAATCCAACAGGTTGAGGCTATGAGTTAGTCACAAAAGGTGTGGGAGCCACAGGACCTTAGGACAAACTCGAGGATGCGGTTTTTCCCTAAGCAGAAGCTGTCATATTCTTTTTGTTGTGTTGCTTTTGATTTTTCGAGACAAGATTTCACTACGTATCACTAGCTGTTCTGGAACTCACTCTGTAGACCAGGTTGACCTCGAAATCACAGAGATCTGCCTGCTTCTTCCTCCCAAGTGCTGGGATCAAAGTAATTCATGACTACACCTGGCTGGCATAGTCTTGATATTCAAAAATTGTAGGTTTGGGGAAGAGCAGATAGTGGCAGTAGTCCTTGGAGTCCCTGCCCGGGCATAGTCATCCAAATATCCCTACCTTCTACATCTTTGGTGCTTGGTACCAAGGTTTCCCACTCCTGCCAGTGAGCTCTATAGTATCTGGTTGTCAACCTTTTACTTTTGTGTCTGGACAAGGAATGGAGAGACCCAGGGACTTTCTTAGGATCCCTTAGCGTTACAATTCTGAGGGCAACCCTGGGGCTCAGATGTGCAGAGCATTGCCTGGGGCCACTGATCTGCAGCCTGGCAATTGTTGATGGGCTGTTCGTTTTGCCTGTGGGTGGCTTCAGGGAAAATTGAGGGGAAGGAAAATGCCAAAGTCCTCCCTTTCCCCTTCAGCACTCAGGAGTCCCAGGCAGAGGCTGAGTGGGTGGTTGGTCAGGTTTTGGAGAGTGGAAAACAGTGAATTGAAGACAGGCTTAACTAGTTTTCCTGTGCCTGGCCTCATCTCCAGTCTCCAGACTCAGTCTGGGATCTCTTGGCATCTGAAGATATCAAAGAGGCCAGGTGTGGATGTGCAGGCCTGTAATTCTGTCTCTCAGAGACTTAAATAGAAGGATGGAGAGTTCAAGGCCAGCCTGGGCTGCACAGAGAATTCCAGGCAAGACTGGGCTCCATAGCAAGTCCTTATTGAGGCAGGGGTTGGGGTGAATGTGAATGTCAGATGTCTGTATGGGGTGGGGACCAACAAATGTTCCTCTTTTCATCCTCTACCGTCCCCCACCACGAGGGCAGGCTGGGTTGGGGGGGATCTCCGTTTCTCACCATCTGATGCTGTTCCCTCTCTTGTAGGTTTTATACATCAGGAAGAAGAAGAGGTAATTCCCCAGATGGTTCTTGAAGTTTTAGTCCATGGGAGGGGCTGGGCTGGGATCCAGGGGATACGGTGGGAAAGGAGAAAGAGGCCCAGCACTAAGGCATCTCTTCCCGGGTGTGTGAGGGGGGTGGAGATTAAGGCCTCTCTGCCCACTCATGATTAGGGATAGCTACTCTCCACACACAGGCATGCAGGTATGAAGATTCTGAGGAAACAGGCATAACCCTGGTATAAGGTGGGGGAGGGGGGAGAAAGGGGAGTCATCACCACCCAGCTACCCTAGCCCTGACGCCTTAAGCTGACTGCCACTGACTCTCTCCCTCTGCCTCAGTCCATACAGGCTGGGACTGCAGTAGAATCCCAGCCCAGGCAGCGCCTCCCCCCACCCCTGCCGTAGATCCTATAGCCAGACCCAGGAATGGCTAGTTGCTCATTCTAAGTCTATCTGTCTAAGAGTTGTATTGGTACTGTCTGTCGGTGACTCCTGAGGGAAGACTTAAACGTGATGTATGGCTCCCTTGGCCACCAGGACTGAAGGAGGAAGGCTCTGTCCTACCCCCAAACAGCCTCTCTCCTCCCCCAGGCTGGAGAAGCTACGCCACCAACTCATGCCTATGTACAACTTTGACCCCACGGAGGAGCAAGATGAACTGGAGCAGGAGCTACTGGAACACGGGCGAGATGCAGCCTCCATGCAGGCTGCTGCCTCCCTGCAGGCCACACAGGGCAAGGTGGGCACTGGCCAGTTTTCCCACCCACCCCGGAGCTGTCTGTCTCTTACATCCTTTCCATGCATTTCCAGCAGGTGCTGAGGTGGCAGCATTGAGTACATGGGTCTCTTCATATTTGTTTAGAAACTACTGGAATCGTTCTATGGCCCTCACAGACTCACTGTGCAAAGCCAGGCCTCGTGGGATCCAGCCTGGCTGGTCTCTGTAGATCTTGGAGACCCAGTTGGAATCACTGAGCCTAGTTTTCTCATCTGCATACGGAAATCCTAAGTCTTGCCCCGTGAACCCTCACGCACTAGCTGGGAAAGCAGAAAAACAAACAAACAAGCAAACAAACAAAAAACCTAGGGCAAGGCTGACAAGGCAAGGACTCGGGTTTCTCTAACCCATGAGGATCCATGGACCTGAGTGAGTTGTGAGGGGGCTCAGGCTCTTCAGCAGAGGCACCTCCGAGTGGATTGGTGAATCCTAGTCCCTGACAATCTGGGGCAGTGGAGACCCACGCCACACAAACACACCTCCTCAACCATGCCCTTATCCCGTCAGAGCCATAAGGCAACCTGACTGCTTCCATTCTTCCAAATCCTCAAAAGCCAGAGTACCGCAAAGGGCTTGGGCCTGTCCTTGACCCATCCTTATGTTTGCCCCTGTCCTGAGGGCCAGAGGTGAGATCTCTCTGCTGGCAGAAAGGAAAACATGCATAATTAATTCAGTACTATACCCATAGTAAGTGCTGCCACGGTGGCAGAGCAAGCTGGGAGTGGCTTGGGAGAGGGAGGGGTCATTGGAGCCAGGTCACATTTCTAACTGAGCTTGGTGGAAGGACATTCTAGGTAGAAGGCATAGCTGATGCCAAGCAAAAGCAGGTACCAGGAAATGAGGGTGGAGGTGACTGGACCAGAGACTGGCTTTGGTCAAGGTTTCTGATGCCCCTGCCTGTCTCCCTGCAGAGCACTCTCCCTTCCCAAGGCCCACTGCAGAGGCCTAGCAGGCTGGTGTTTACGGATGTGGCCAATGCCATCCACGCGTGAGTGGCCTGAGAACAGGCCTGGACCTCTGACAAAGACACCTGCCACAGTGCCAGCAGCTTCCTGACCGTCAAGACCTGCTCTCAGGACCTGAGCCATCCCCACCACACGACAGGAAAGGGCTGCCACAGACCCCACCCGCCAACTCTCAGGCTTGAAGAGAGAGCGCTGCCTAGGCTAGAGCCAGCCATCTGGCCACTGACTTCTCCTGAACCGATGGCCCTGCCACAGAAGGCAGGAAGGCAAAGAGCCATGGCTGGCTTCCTGGTCTCCTGGCCAAAACCCCTGACATCACGGTCTGAAGGTCTGCTTTTCTGATGGGGAGGAAGGGCACAATCTGGAAGAGAAAGGGAGAAAACAGGAAGGCTCCCCCTATCTAGGATTGCTTTTTTTTTTTTTTTTTTTTTTTTTTTTTTTAGCCTGCAGCCTCCTATAGGGCAGGGAGAGGCAAACCAACCTCCAGTTGACAGGGCAGGGCAACACCTTTTGGAGAGGTTTGGTTGTTTGTTTGTTTTTTGAGACAGGGTCTTGACTGGCTTGGAACTTGCTGTGTAGGCCAGGCTGGTCTCCAACTCAAGAGATCCACCTGCCTCTGCCCCCCCCACCCCCAGTGCAGGGATGAAAGGCGTGTGTCACATCCAACTAGAACAGCACCATTTGTAGGCCCAGGAGATCCAGGGACAGACCTGGAAATGTCCAGTAGATGTCAGGGAAAGGGTTACCCAAAGCCAGGAGCTGTCCATAGTTAGGATATTATGGTGAGTCTCCCAGCCACATACCATTGGCAGCCGAGGTAGCTGAGGGAGATGAAGTTGGGAGACTGGGATGGAAAGGTGCAACTCCCCCAGATGTGGAGAAAGGCTTCACGCATGTGCATGAGTGGACTGTACGCAGACATGTGCCTGTTCCAGCATAAGAGTAAAACAGAGGTCCCCTGCATGGGCTCCACCTTGCAAGCTGACTCCCACCCTGTGGTATGGAGTCATCATAGGCTGCTTCCTCTCCTTCATGCTCAGGGCTACTCGGAAGAGAGGAACAAGGCTGGGTTTCTCCGTCTGCTGTGTTTCTTCAGTGGACTCTAAAAACTGGTCTGATCTGCTTCTGGAAATGACTCCCTTTCAGCATGGAGTTCTTGGAGAAGCCTTTGGTCTAAGGGAAGTCGCAGGCAGGAAAAGTTATGGTTGCCTGGAAGGGAGCGTCCTTTGAGGAAAAGACCTAAGAAGCCAGTCTGGTTTTAGTTTTTCCTTCCCACCTTATGTGCAGGAAGGGCCGCTCAGTGTCCATGGAACGTGGAAGGGAGTCTCTGCCGTTGGTCTCCTCTACGTCTTAGAGGTGCGAGGCTGATACCAGGGGCCTCCGGGCAGTGGAGGTCACAAAGACAGCACAGTTTTCTACCCTGGAAGTCTCACACGAGCATGCACAGAGGCGTGCCCCCTGCTTCACCAGCGTCCCTGGCCTGTGCTGGCTGGAGGGGGTGCGGGGGTGGCACATATGCTATTGGGCAGATGCCCTATGTCAGGAGGTAAGGGGCTAGGAGGATCCCATGGGGACGGCTCCGGTCCTGTCCCTGCCGCTAGATGCTATAAATATGCTAGCACTTGAGCAACTGGAGGGCCGTGAGTAATTTAGGATGCACAGAGCTGTAATTTAACTCGCAGCATCTCCAAGTGTGAGAGCATTAAAGATGTAATTAAGATGTTTACACAAAGAGAATGGAGTCTGTGACACTTGGGGTGCCAAACCCCAGGAGGGGACACAATGGGTGAGGTGAGGATCCGTGGGAGGCCTGGGGACAGTCACATGGACTCCAGCTATGAGATGGCAGGCAGCCCGGCTGTTTTTCTTGATCTATCCATGGAAATGCTTTGGCCTAGAGTTCAAGGTTGCTCTGAGGCCTCACACTTACTCAGAGATAGGGTGACAATGCCTGAAATACCTTGCGGGGGTGGGGGTATGGACAGCTCAAGAGGAAAGACTCTTGTGAGGTCAGGTCAGGAAGAGGGATTGATCCCCAAGGATTGTGGGGTGGCATATGGTGCCTCTGGACCCATAGGAGCTATGTCTGAAATACAAGAGTAAAACCGTTTCCTATGGAACACAAAGTACAGGGTAAATGGCATGGGATGTGGGAGTCAATATGGTTGTATACATGGGACCTACCTGTTAGGCTCAGAAAGAGTTAAGGGAAAATGTCACTATGGTGACCAGTTTGCCCAGGAATGCCCCAGTGTTAGTGTTGAAAGTTCTGTGAGAGAGCGAGCTGAGGTTTGGACAAGCATGTTGGAAACATGGATGGAGTTAGCCTCAAAGTTTCATGATGGAGGTCTGGGCTGAAGGAGGGGGCTGTAGGTCACAGGACAGGACTTCAGGCGAGGCTGAGAACCGTGTCTCCCGTGGGCCACACACACGAGTTACAGTTGGGCCTGTCAGTGATAGATTTGCTGTTAGGAAAAAAAAAAAAAAAACCTCCTCTCAGAAGACTGGCCGGGGCATGGGGTGAGCAAGTGGGCTGTGTGTCCCCGCATTATAGTCAGCCCCTTGGTTCAGGTATGTGGGTGCTGCAGATCTCTTGGTACCCTGCAGAAACGGTGCCTGGGGAGTAAGGGTGACACCCAGGGACCAGGGCTGATGAGGGATGTAGGAGAACCCCCATGCCCTTCTCTTCTGCTGCACGATCAAGTTCCCCTTCCTGAAGGGTGGGCCTGGCTAAGAGACAGACACAGGCTGCTCTCTCTGTGTGGCAGGGCACCTACTTATAGACTGTACCTTCGCAGTAAATTGTCCCTTCTACTCACCTTGTTCTGTTTTCTAGATCTTTCTCCTAGTCTCAGAAGAAAACTAAATTCCATTATCTTTCACAAAGCGTAGGGTTGATAAATATTGGGGTGAAAGGTTCTGGTGGATGTATTCTCCTTGAGGAACCAAGCCTTAGGGGACTCCCCTCACTGCCCTCAGCGGTGAACTGGGTAAGGCAGATTTGCCCACTATTATTGCTTCTAAAACTGGCAGTTGGGTCCCTCTGAGGAAGGCCCTCCCCCCCCATAATCAATCAGACTTTCTGTGTTTCTATGTCTCTCTCTCTCTCTCTCTCTCTCTCTCTCTCTCTCTCTCTCTCTCTCTCTGTCCCTGTCTCTCTCTGTCTCTGTTTTTCTGCCTGTCTCTCTCTGTCCCTGTCTCTCTCTGTCTCTGTTTTTCTGCCTGTCTCTCTCTGTCTCTGTCTCTTTTTCTGTCTCTATGTCTCTGTTTCTGACTCTCTGCCTCTGCCCCCCCCCCCGCCATGCATAAAATCTCTCTTTGTGAACAGCAACCAGGGCTTCAGGTCAGAAGCAGCAGTGGCTGACCGTGGGTGGTGTTGGGGTGGATGCGGATGGACGCCTTCAAAGGAGGCCGTCTCTTGTTTAATATAGTGAAGGGTCACCTTGGAGCCAAACTGAATAAAGTGATCCCATTGCTTGGCTGCAGGCAGACAGTGGGAATGCCTTCAGAATTGTAAAGGAAAGCTCTTGTCGGGGAGAGCTCAGTAACTCCTGCAGTGTTCTGACCTTTCTATAGACTCCTAGAAACATTTCCCTCCAGCCCAGTATCCCATCAGTGAGCCAACTCATACTGTACTTCATTCTACAGGGAAGAGAAAGATGCCAAATAGACACACAGAGAGTGTCCTATGTGTCCCTATCCTTTTATTTACAGCTAAATATAAAGAAAGGAAGGTCAGGCCAGGGAATGCCTGGGGTGTTCCAAGGCTCAGGCAGACATTCGTATGGCATCCTGTGAAGCTGTACCCCTTTGGCAGGCCTCAGTGCGTGTGTCTGGGGTGGGCTTGTCTAAGAATGTCTGAGGGAAATTCCAGGACAGCCTGGCCTCTGAGGTCTCAGGACATGGGGACTGCAGGCGGGACAGCTGTGATTTCCCAGGGAATGCTCCTGAAAGACCATACTGAGAAATGAACAAGAAGTGTGTGAGCATCAGGCGCAGAGGAAGAGCATGGCCAGCAGGTGTGACCAAGCAGGGCTAGAACAGGTGCCATGCCACCTAGGACTAGGTTTGCCCTTAGCAGCCACCACACTTCAGTGGTGGCTGCCTCTTACTCCTTAGTGTGGGTCCTGCAGAGGCAGATCAGGGTAGGGGACAGGACTCCTTAGGGACATCCTGATTGCCCCCCCAGGCCCCCAAGAAAGCTAGATGAAGCAAGCAAGCATGCAGAGTAAGGAGAAGAATCTCAGAGAAGGGCTGGGGAGATTGCTCCGTGGTTGCAGCATGCACTCTGTTGCAGAAGACCTCAGTTCTGTTCCCCAGAATCCATGTCAGATGCATCACAACCTCCTGTGCCTCCAGCTCCAGAGGACCCTCTCCTCGCCTCCCTGGGCACCTGCACTGACATGCACAAACCTGTGCATACAGATAATTACAAATTACAATAAATCTTTTTATTACTTTGTAAAGAATCCCAGCGCAAAGCCCAGCGCTAGAGCCTTCCTGCAAAGGAGGAAGGGGAGCTGAAAGTTCCGAGACATGAAGGCAGTTTCCTCCCCTGGCCCTTGCCTGGGAACAATGTGCTTCTCAGAGCATCTCAGTTTGCAGGACACCTCCCAATTCTCAGCTCATCCAAGAAGGTGACACCCTTGGAACCTGGTTGGATCCATGATTTACAGACCTGAGATCCCTGTATGATGGATAGGAGGAAGGCCGGGAACTCTGTGAGGTCCCTCAGAGGTCAGGGTTTCTATACCTAGTGTTGAAGAGCTGGAACCTGCCAGCAGGGAGTGCTGAGAGAAGTAGCCTTTCTCCGAGGTCAGGGATCCTATCTCTCTGATCTGTGGGTTGCAGCCTGGATAGTGTCTTAGGGTTTCTGTTGCTACGATAAAAACACCATGGCCATAAACAACTTGGCAAGGAAGGGATTTCATTTCAGTGTTTAGTTCCACATTGTAGCCCATCATTGAGGGGGGGGGCAGGGCAGGAACCTGGAGGCAGGAGCTGGTACAGAGGCCATGGAGGGGTGCTGCCTACTGACCTCTTCCTCATGATTTGCTCAACCTGCTTCTTTATATACCCCAAAACCACCCACCCAGGAATAGCACTACCTACAATGAGCTGGGCTCTCCCACATCAATCGTTAATCAAGAAAATGCCCCACAGGTTTGTCCACAGGCCAATTAGGGTGTGTGTGTGTGTGTGTGTGTGTGTGTGTGTGTGTGTGTGTGTGTGTGTGTGGTGGAGGTGGAATTTTCTCAATTGAGGTTCTTTCTTCCAAAATGACTTTAGCTTATGTCAAGTTGACATAAAACTAGCCAGCACAGCACAGTCCTCACAGTTAGAGGAAAGTCCCAGACAGCTTTGAAGCAGAATCAATTACAGGAAGGCCTCCTTCCAAGTGTCCCCCACAGTGTGAGGTTTCTAGAATGTGTAGGGGGCTAGAAGGACAGGAGGAGGGTTGGGACACAGCTGAAATCATAGTGAGCCCCAGAGCCCATTAACATCTCAGCAGCCTCTGGAGTCTGAGCTCCATTGCACACGTGAACCTTCTGAGTAATATTTCCCGGTGGTCTATATAGGAAAGACATGGATCCTCCCAGGGGCCTAAAAGGTGACAGAAGCAAACATCGCCCACAGTGGCCAGAAACATAAACAGGCCAGTTCTAGAGTGAAAGGTTAGGAAGAAGCTGAGAATTGTTTGCCTGGTGGGTGGTGGTGAGTCTGGTGGATGGTGGTGAGTCTGGTGGGTGGTTGTGAGTCTGGTGGATGGTGGTGAGTCTGGTGGATGGTGGTGAGTCTGGTGGGTGGTGGTGAGTCTGGTGGGTGGTGGTGAGTCTGGTGGGTAGTGAGCCTGGAGAGATGTCGTCTGGTCAGATGTGTGCCCGGGTGCTAAGCAGGTCGGGTTCCTCCTACACCCACCATCTTGTCCCTTCTAGGCTCATAGGTGCCAGGCCCCTAAGATGGCTTGACCTGAGTCCCCTCCCTAGGACACCCTACGAGGGATAAACCCTCATCCTCTGCTTCAGACCCAAAGGGCTCCAGGACCTGGGGAAAAGCTTCAGGTTACATGAGTAGCAAAACTCATTCCCAGGCTGAGGGTGGGGGATCGACCATACTGGACTTCCAACTGGCTCAGGGATGGAAAGCTTGTGTAGTCGATAAAAGGAAATCTACCTAGAGTGTGGCATCTGGATGCCGCTGCACTTGCTGGGGGAGAGAGAGAACTAACTTCCACAGGATTTCTTGGGAAAAGCCATAGGTGAGTCATGGCCACAGCCACAGCCACATCCTGGCCAGCAAGCAGAAAGAGAGAGTGCCTGGGCACACCGCTGTGCCTTCTCCAGGCAGCATTTCCTGACTAAACCTTTGGGGCCTGGGAGCAGCTCTGGTCAGGACCCTTTCCCGTCCTGGAAGTCAGGAAGCCCCTTACATGTTGAGATACATACAAAACACTTGCTCGGTCTTGTACTCTGTGAGGTCTGAGAGGGCCAGGGAAGAAAGGCTGCCACGTGCCAAAGACTCTGGTGTCAGGGTCCGAGAGTCCCCACTCACCGCACCCCATTGCACTATAACCACAAAGGCTGTGAGGTGTTTGTAGGAACACCCAGCCGGACTGAAGGGAGCAGGGAGGGGCAAGAGTCCCCTCGCCAAGTGGAATCTAGCCCAAATCTCGGCTTCTGCCAAGGCTTCTGTCCCTGGGGGCTGGCCTGGATTCCATCTGGGACGGGCAAAAGGGGTGGTGAGAGAGATGGCTGGGGTGATGTGAGGTCAGACCTCGACTCTCAGAGGGATCTTCAGGCCTGCCAGAGTCACCTGATGGAGCAGGGCACCAGAGGGCCAGGCCACCAGGGAGAATGGAAGAGGCCAGGGACTTTCCTGCCTTGCTCTGGACCAGGCCAAGCCTTGAATGAGGAGGTCTAGAGTGCAGACTCTGTAACAATGTGTCAGAAACCATCTCCCAGACACAGGGAGCCTGGTACCCATTCTCCTCAGCTGGGCATTCCAGAGGCTGGAGGTTGGGTGAAGGCCTGGAGTCCAGCTGCCTGCCCTGGCGGGGCTGGGACCTGGAGCATCCTCCTGCCACGGAAACATGTTCCTGCTGGATGTGACAGTTCACAGGGAGCCACTTGTGATCTGGAACCACTACCACGAAGGCAAGAACACACCGTCCTGGCTCAGCTCACCCTCATAGGGACAGCCCTCTGGCTGTCCCTGACCTGGCTGTTCTTCCTGACACCCCAGTGCGCCCACCCTTTCTCTTCCAGACTCTCGGGCCTTTTGATCTTTGACCCAGCCAATAGAGTCTCTTTTGCCTAAAACAAGGCAAGTGAAGCTGAGCATGGCAGCGTCTATCTGTGATCCCAGCATTCCAGGGACACAGACAGTAGGATCCTGAGTTTGAGGCCCAGCTGGGCTACATCATAGGAAGAGCCTGACTAAAACAAGGACAAAGAGGACAAAGATGAGGAGGGGAAAAGGGAGGAAGAAGAAAGTGCCAGGCATAGAACCTGAGAGTAACTTCTCACGGTCCACACCCAACCTTCTGCCCGCTACATTGTATGTGCTGCAAGTCAGGTACTTCCGCCCATCCCCCACCCTCCAGAGAAAGCCCAGGCTAGGGGATAGCTTGGTGACATGCCTGGCTCTTGGCAGAGCTGATACCCACGAAAGCTGCTGATTTCTCACCCCCCCAGGGCATTTGTCTGCAGATTGACTTGCTTATGGAGACCCCATCAAAGAGATAGCCCACTCCCATTGGTCCAGGCAGAATACAAAGATACGGAGCAGCAGGTCTGAATGGAGAGGTAGAACTT